AAAATGCGACCAGATGATTTTTCTCCTGATAAGTTAGTTCGGAGCCTTCGGTGTAGTAGGTTCTGTCTACCATCTTCCGCACATTCTTTGAAGAATGAAAATAAGCTGTCAATGGACAATAAGTTGTCAACTATTTTGAAATAAACAATATAAATTACTTAATAACTATGTTAACCTCACATGGGGGAAGAATTGGAGGTGTATCCACAAGGACAAAAATCGTAGGTCTCTCTTGCTCGATTGTAGGATCACCAAGATCCATGCTAACAAGCATACCCTCATCAAAACCATACATCTTGCAAAGTTCTTGCCAATTTTTGCAACCAAAATGGGTTACACTCTGAGCATTGTACAACTTTACTTGAAAATCCACACCATGATGGGTACTTAGGATAATTTTTTTGGTTTCGAAACTTTCATGGTCTTCAAAACCCATCCTCTCCAAGACATAGCGTCTTGCAAAATATGGGATAAGCTAGTCGAATTGGAAAAGATGAAAAATATTTTCATGATTAAAATAGTTGAAGTCATGAGTAATTATGAAAAAAAACTATTATCGTTGTTTGCGTACCGTATGAACATCGAAGGTCTCCTCGAGCTTAATGTTGAAGCGACGATCTTCGTCCAGCTCAATGAACCTGTCGCAGATACCTCGGTTGTCGTGGCACCAGTCGCACTCCCCCGGGCGGTTTTCGTCGTCCGATGAGTACGACATTTCCGGCCTACGTTCATAATTCAAATATTAAATTATATCATTATTATTAATCACGGGTTGACCATCGATGATCGATGTACGTAGCTCCTCCTTTCATTCCCGAATGCATTATTATATCAAATTGTCTAGCACACGGGAATGAAGGAGAACTTATCCAATATGAGCATTCAATAAGCAAAACCAAATCATAAAATAAGCAAAACAAAATCATAAAATAAAGTATAGTATTCAAATTAGCATGCATTCAATAATTATAAGCAAAAGTACATCATCTCTTGGTGTCCGTATATCGTCGAATATTATCACTAATACAACTAGAACCGTAGCGCCCGACGGGTATCGACGCAGGCGGTGGACACCCAAAGATAAGGAACCATCACTAGATCATAGCTCCAGTGAGATCCCTGAAGAACCTGCCAGGTATTGCCGAACCTGCCCTCCAATGCAACCATATAGCGACGGACGTGCTCGTCCTCCTCGCTGACACGGTGACGTACCACCTCCGTGGTGTCCGGATGCCTCACCACCATCACTGGCCCACGCGACCGCCACCAAACAAGGATCGGGTCAATAACGGGCTACCTCCTCACCAACCTACGTCCCCCGGAAGGTAGCACCTCCCAATACCAGCCCGGCGCAGTCCAGTCCCGAACATGGCCCTGATCAAGCAGGCCTCCACCGCCGAGTCGACGACGACGAGGATGCGGGATAGGCATCGCCGACGTCGATGCGGGAACTACTTCTATATATAGTTGAATAAAAGTAGTTTTATTAATTAAATCTACTCTCTAGTTCAACTACTAAGCACTTACTATAAATAAATAAGTAGTACTTACTAAAAACAAACTACGTCTATATATAGTAAAATAAATTAGTTTATTAAATTAACTAGCTAGATCAACTATATATAAACTACTTCTTATTTTTTTCCTTTTTCTAAATACTTTGAACAAAAAAATCATTAAAATTCTATGAACAAAATTAATTACTACACATCTAGTCTAAAAAAAATCTAATCTAACAAAAAAAATATATGAACTACATATCTAAATTACTACACATCTAATCTAACAAAAAAATCTAATTAATCTAACAAAAAAATCTAACATAATATAAACAAATTAATTACTACACATCTAATCTAACAAAAAAAAATCTAATCTAACAAAAAAAATCTATGAACTACATATATCTAAATTACTACACATCTAACCTAACAAAAAAAATCTAATTAATCTAACAAAAAAATCTAACATAATATAAACAAATTAATTACTACACATCTAATCTAACAAAAAAATCTATGAACTACATATATCTAAATTACTACACATCTAACCTAACAAAAAAAATCTAACATAATATAAACAAATTAATTACTACACATCTAAT